GGTCCCGCCGCTCCCGCGATGTGTGCCCGGCCGGCCCGGTGCCACCTCCGAGGTGAACTTGGGGGAAAAAACCCTAAGATTTGTTCTGTTAAGCACAGAAAATGCCTAATAGCGGCCAGTGTTCGGAAATGGTTTTAGTGTAGCTCCTAACCCGCCACTCAAAACAGCTTGTCGGTCAGAAAAATGCTCGAGGAGACATGATTAATTTAAAATGTTAAATGCAGTTTTGCCTGTATCGTTTACAGATGCCAAACTGAACTTAGTAAATCTGTCTTAATTGCTTAAATAGTTGGAAGCACCATATTTTTCACAGGATTAAACGGCCAGTTCCCATGTTGCTGCAAATCACATTCACCTCTCCAGTAATCTTTGGGACAGGGAAAGCCCATGGAAACAAAAAGAGCACTCTCTTTTAGAGTATGCATGAGATGGATGAAATAGTTACAGAAAATATTTAGGAAGTGTTGGATATTGTCTGTAACTACTTCGGTTTGCCTCCTGTGTGCTCAATCAGTACTCAATGTCCAACGAGGTCTGTTAAGTGTTTTCTGACTGTTGTTCACTAATTTAATGACACGCTCGTGGTGTGGGCAGATAGTTAAATGTAAATTTTAAACCATTTTGCCTATGGCAAGGCAATTTTCAGTTGTATAATACTGGAATGTGTTTCTTTTAACCTGAGCAATCTTTCTCATACCTTATCAGCTATCTTTCTTAATTCCTACAGAGCCCTTATCACAGAAGTGTTTATGTATCATTCTTTCTTTGCAGGCTAATATCCTACCCAGAAAGTGAGGTTGAATAACATGCACATGCTGATTACTGGAGGAGAGGCTGAAGGACATCCTGTTTTCATTTAGCAGTGTTGTTATTCTTTAGGGTGAAATGAAGAATTTGATTCTGTTTTGGAAATATTCAGATTTCTAATGCAAACTGAACTTCAGTAGCCTTTTTTGCAGTACAGATTTCAGCAAATGAATTTTTCTTAAAGATGCAGAACCTGTCACTAGTAGAAAGTCTTACCAACACAGACACATCTCACCGGAAGTCTCTGAAAGACCTAGCAGTTGAAGTAGGTGGTATGTGTCTCCATGAAAGTGACTGTAACTTGAATGAAAGGACAAATAATGAAGAAATTAGTAATCTTGAAGTAATGCAGCAAAGCCTCCCTGTAGTGAATAGCAGAGGAAGAAGTTGTGAGGGATGTTCTGAGAGCAGTTACAGTACCTCAGAACCCAGTAGTTCCTGGGGTGACTTTGAAGGCTTCAGAGAGTCCTCAGACAAATCAGAGAGATTCAGTCATGATCTTGAAGTTTTGGTAAAGTCAACAAAAACTCGGAGAGGTGATAGGGATGTAAGCAGCGGGCATTGTAACGCTTCTGCTGGTCACTTTTGTTCTGAGCCATCTCTACACAGTGGGATACAGGAGGCTCCGAGCTCTCTAAATGAGGTATGTGTTAATAGTAAACCGAAGACCAGAAATGTTTGTGTTACTGCTTCCTACAGCTCAAGATTTGTATCTGAATATCTTCTCTATAGAGGATAATGCTGTACAGAGAGAGAAACTGTCAAGTTGCTTTGCAGCTAGCTCAAGTGGAACAAAAGCAACTTCTTTACAGTGTTTGACAAATACTTAAGTTATCCTGCTGGAGAGCTTTAAAGAATGTAATGCGCTACTTTGCTTCTAGGCACTCGGAGTAAGTAAGCAGGTAGAAATGATGAACCTTGCCCTGAAGCACATGCAAGTTAAGAGCTAGACAAGAATGAGCATAGGAAACAAAAAGTGGGGATGGTGTATAATAAAAACAGAGTGGACAAAAATTCGATGAGTTGCCTGCAAGTTTATTGAAGTAAATCAACATAACATTGAGTTAGAAATTGAAAAACAACAAAAAAACACTTTGTTATTTAATACACTGCCTGAATAATCCAATGGTCTTTCTGGAATTTTACACTGATTGTGGGTGGAAGTTAATGACTCAAATGAATATAAATAATATAATTTATTTTTTAAGATAGGATGTTACCTTCTCTCATAGAATGTTAGAAGTAATACTCTGAATAAATAATATAATGTGTCTTTATCGGCACAAGAAAAGGTTCAGATTAAGGTCTATACCTTGTTGCAATTAATGTGTTTCCATGTTTACCAAACATGCATCACCAAAGCAAAGCAGAGTAACAAAAGGAAAATAAGAATGTAAAAATACAAACCAAAATGCCCTCATTCTTACTACTTTTATCCTAATTAAAACATTTGAGAAAAAAAAAAAAGAGCAATTGACTAAGACTTCCATGGGTTAATCAGTAGCAGCAATAGCTTACTGCTTGTAGTCTGTTAGATGAGTTTTAGTATGCGTAGGGAACTGAGGGATTTCTGGAGACAGGCTTTCTTGCCCTTGTCTGGGAACTTTGCCTGTTGCAGAGGTATTACTAGGGAAAGCACAAAGATGTGTGTTGGGATCAGCTGTCTGGCACCCATAGAGTGGAGATCACAAGATACCTGGTTATTGGTATGCATAAACAGAATTTAATTTGTTTGTAATGCTGGAAATTGGGGACAAGAAGTCTTATGTTGAAAAAACAGTATGTAATGTCTGGAGCTCAAATAGAATATAGCAGATTGTTTGGTTTCTTTCCAAAAGTGGTCGATCTTAATCTTACTGAAGCCTTTGCTTTATTTTTGCATTTATTAAAAGCAAAAGGAAATGTCCAGTCCAAGCTAAATAAGTTAACCATGCCTGGAGTTTCAAGTTGTCTTTTCTTGTCTCAGGGTAGAGAAACAGCTGCAGAGCTGTTGGAGATTCTCTGGGTGTAGAATATACGTGTAGCTTGTCCTTTATCCCTGTGCTTTTTCTATGGTTTGTTTGAGATCATAAACTCTTCAGGTTGGGGGTCTCTCTTCTGTATGGTCAACAGAATAAAACTCCAGGTGGGTTGGAAGGGACCTCTAGAGATCATCAGAGGTCTGACCTTCAGTATCTAATGTTTCAGTTAATTAAACAATGTCGGTCTGGAACAGAATCATGTATTTTAAGGTGAAAACTATCACTAATTTCCTTGCAGTAGCTGGATATTTTGCCTGCATGATTGAATAACTTTTTTCATGTGTTCTTTAAATACTGGCCTTTGTGAGAGGGACTAGTGCACTTGCTTAAGCACTGGAGTGTTCTGATTTAATAGGATATAGAGGATTTAGTCAAAAAGCATGGATGTGAAATTTGTGCATTCATATTTTTATAATTAGTACAAAGCTACAAGTAAATGGAAATATACCCAACTTTTGTTTTAGAAACACCCACTGAAGTAGACAGTAATAAAGGTAATTAAAAAAAAAAAATCTTGCTTTTTTCATCTGGCATGGCTAAACTATAAGCCAGTGACTCATATGCATGTCAGAGTAACATCACAGGAGATTTGAAAAATAAGGCAGATCTGTGCTTCCCTCCCCTCACGCTGCTGTGGCTGTAATCTCCCTCCACCCCAAGGCCAAGAGCAGCTGCTTGACTTTTCCTTACCTCCCATCCCATTTAGGTTTTGGTACCTACTTGGGAGCTTGTTTTGTTTTTTTTTTTTTTTTTTTGTTTTTTTTTTTCCCTTGACTGTGACTCTCCATGTATGCTATAGCAAGTGTGGTTTCACAGAATTCTGCTTCTCAGGCATCTTTCTCCTCTGTATAGTATCCCTAGTTGTAAGTTAAGTCTACTATAATAATTTACAAATTGATTTAAAGTATTCTGACACTTTGGGCAAGATTGAAAAGATTTTACCCAGGAGTTTTTGAATGCCCCGGCTGTCGCCCCTCAGGACAGGCAGTTTCGCAAGGCCTTACTTCAGGAGGGGGCAGCCAGGGGCACAAATTCTATTTCTAGAAGCATCCTCAGAAGTACAGAAGCTTTCTACCAGTTCTGTTGATTTTTGCCCACTCATCATTAGATTAAATCCGTACTCTCTCAGTATTGACTGCACTTGTCTGAGTTCTGTATAATGAAACTGCGGAAATATCTCTATTTCAGCTGCTTGAGTTACAATTACACAAAACTGTCAAAATACAGAGTATCCATACTTATGTTTTTCAGATTAAGCTGTTGATTGCTAGGCAAAGAAAAACAGTCTGGTTTCCTTCCCTAGTTTTCACACAACGTTGCTGCTCCTGGGTTGCGTTCCCTCTGCAGGGTGTTGAAGTCAATTAGTTGCCTTGATTTAGAAAACTGCAGTAACTCCTTCTTTGAAGGAGTAAAAGGACAAAGCTTCTGGACCAGATGGCATGATAACATCGCTTTAGGATAGGATGTAAATTATACACATTTTTCCTTGTATATGTATTTCTTAGTTTTCAGATAACCCCATTACTTCTAGTAGGCCTGTTGGGATCACTCATGTGCCTATGTTCAGTCCTCCAAACCTCCTCCTCATCACTGCCGGAGGAGGAACAAGTATGTCGGTCTGGCTCTGATTTTTAATATAGGCTGGAAAAAGTTTGGTGCAAATGCAAGAATGTAGAGACATACTCACCCCAGCTTTTATGCAGACTTACACAGTGCAAGTATTTATTGGTAACTATAGCATTTAGTAGTTGTGTTACGTTTGGCTGAATTGAGCGTGTTCGACTATGAAGTTAGCAAAACAAGCTTTTGAATTGATGTATACATCAGTTTTGACCTGGACTGAATTAGCCGAGCAGACAAAGGAGTCTTGAGTGCTCATAGACAAACCGGTCTATAACTTAGTAGCTGGGAAGCTAGAGGCTGAGGTTCATCAGAAACTCTTGAACTCTTGCTTCTCCTTCTCTAATTCTAAGTAAATACTCAAAACACTGAACTATGGGCTCAGTCCCTCTGTGCCATTAATATTAATACAAATTTTAAAAACAATCAATAATACAATCTCTAGAAACATCGTAGACTTTGGACTAGGTCCTTCATGAACTGTGGGGATGGCCTGTATAACATATGTAATAAAACTCTGTTTTTCCTAGGCAAACCACAGCTATGAGGATATATTTAAGGTGGGCTTTCCAGAAGTCTTTGTATCACAGTCCAGAGAGAACATAAGAAGCTTAGATCAAGTACTTGATACAAATAATGAAGATGTTGGGAATCCTGAATGTGTGAAGAATCAACTTTGGTAATGAGTTTAGATGAACAGGTTTTAAAGAAAAAAAAAAATAGAAGTTCCTCAGCAATTACACTGTTTATTTCATAATTTAAAAATCAGTGGTACTTGCAGGTGAACTTAAAAATCTTTTTAATCACCATGCTCTTCGGCACATAAATCTTACCAATTTTGTATTGTGTTGTTAAAGGAAATGGATTGTGTTTTAGCCATTGGAAAACAAGGAAGAGAATACATCAAAATTATGAATTCCTGCTTAGGGGTTTTCCTGCTGTTGGTGTGCCTTCTTATGACTAAGCCTCTGGAATGCCAGAACACCCATTAGGCAGCCTGTTCTTCCTGTTCGTTTGTCCTTTCTTTACGACACATCTGACTTATTTCTCCACCATCTGAGGCAGGAGCGTTGTTGCTGCTTCTACTGACAACCTACTCACTTTTTTTTTTCTCCTTCTCCAATTTTCCCAGGTGGCAACTTCTTCTCATGGTTAACCAGATGTGCTTCAGAATCTGTGGTGCATCTGACTTCTTTCCTGGAGTTATATTAATAAAAATTAGTATCATTAAATTAGCTTTCTCTTAAGACACCTGGAATGCTTTGAGATTTGTTACATGTTTTTGAAGGATCAGCAGCTTCTCAGCAGTATTGTAGTTATTTTTGCATACATCTGAGGGTTTGTATTTAGAAAGCTAGGTCAGACCATGGTTTGGAAATGTCCTAAGAATCACAAGAAATGTAAAAACATTTAATGTGGGCATCCTTTTGGCAGGTTCCTTGTATATGCACTATATTTTAATCAGCTTCAAACTTGTGGAGAAATAGGATATATATGTAAAAGGGACTGCAATATTATAACAGAGTAGAAACTACAGACAAAAGAGCCCTGATGTACTGTAGTGACTAAGATCAATGATAATAGCATCCTGTACTAAGCAAGAAACATCTGGATTTATATAGAAGAATGAATGCAATGTAAGAACCCAAAGCACTATGTAGAGGGAACTCTTAATTCTTCGCTGCTGCAGTGGAGAAGCATGACTGATAGGAAGGAGAAAGGTTTGAGAGACAGAAAATGCAAAGTGCAGAATTAATAGGGCTGAACTCTACCCACATTCCAGAGAAGCAATTGAATAATGCAAGTTGTTGGCATGTAACAGTCTCCAAAATATACTTCTAATGCACTTCTTATCTGAGAAGCCCAAACATACAGTTATGTTGACTTACTGTTTCCGTTAATTGTCATGCGAGCTTATTAGTACGTTGGGTTGATAGTCTGAACGAATGTAGAAAGAGTTTTAAGATAAGTTGCTTTTTATACTAGGGTAGGCTAGTACATGACCGTATGCAGTGAAGATAACTAAGTTATATACGTTCACTGGAAACTAACACCTTCTAACCTCAAAATTGTGTTTTCTTTCTTAGCATTGATTCTGGAAACATATGGAGAACACTTAGAGACTTTGATAATACCACCAGCTTAAGACATCCCTGGAGTAAATCTCATTGCCAAGAAAACCTCTTGAGTGTTCTTGGAATAGATGCAAATGAAAAGGTAATTGAACAACGGTTTGCTAGTGCGCCAGCATAAACACTTGGTTACGAAACTGATTTTCTGTGAGCTATACGTGCAGATGCATGAGGAACTAGATCTGGGTGAGTCATAAGTTTTTTTACAAGAGAGCCTTTTAAAATGACAGTCAAGTTGTTTTCTCATCATTATGTGTAACTAACTATGAAATGAAATAGGATCAAATTTTGATCGTCTTTACATTGAAGTTTCCACTATGGAGTGCCCTGTTGTTAGGTGGTACGTTCAGCTCTACTATAGATGTAGAATTAGCTTTCAGATGTGCGTGTGGTGAGGTGATTTTCTTCTTTGCTCAGAGTATGAGAAAATTGTTAGCATCTAGTATCTTTCCATTAAGTGAAAATCAGATTTGAATCAGAGAGGCTGTTAAAGTAATTACTGAATATTTTTACTGTATACAAACTGAAAGTGTGTTCCGCTTCCCTTTTCCTCAGATTATTCTGTCTGTTTTTGCAAGGCTTGAGGGAGAGTATGTTTTAAATTGAATCAAGACCAAACCAACAGTATTGAAAGATCTCCAAAAGACATGTCTCTGTTTAATCTCTTGTTTTGAGAAGATAAAGGTATCTGAGATGGTTTAGTACTCAGCCTAGTTATTTAGTTAGGATAAATTAGTCACATGTGGTTTTCAGAAGTAACTGTTTCAATTGAAAATTTGATTGCTAAAGCATGGGGGGTACTGCATTCAATTTTGATTTTATGAACATATTTGACCTTTCATGTAAGTTATATACAAACAGAACAACAGGTATAGGAAGGTACTCTGCACTTGAAAGTCACTTTTATAGAACTGTCACTTAAGAGGAGAGAATGGGAGACATTTCTCCAATGTAGTTAAATTCCCCTTCTGTTCCTTTCTTCCCACAGATACATCAACATTAAATCAATGCCCAGGTAGCTTAAACTTATGTCGTTACTTCTTTTCTGCTACTGGAAAATTGTATTGCTTTTAACAGTACCTATGAAGGTGTATTTCTCAGCTATTTTCTGGTGTAGATTAAGGTTAATTTTAATTGGAAATGGCTTTTTTATTTGTTTAAGTCACAATTAGATTTATGTGTGTAGAACTTGTTCTGGTGTAAAATTGTTTCAATGCAGGGGAGGTGGGCACATGATAAATCAAAATACAGCTTCAGAAAGTAAAATTTAGTGGTTATTGTTATTTGAAGGTGTGGTGGGTTGACCTTGGCTGGAGGTCAGGTGCCCCCCAAAGCCACTCTATCACTCCTGCTCCTCAACTGGACAGGGGAGAGAAAATACAGTGAAAGGCTCCTGGGTCGAGATAGGGACCGGGAGAGATCGTTCACTAATTACCGTCATGGGCAAAACAAACTAAAAAAAAATAAATTAATTTGATAATAAATTAGATGAAACAGGGTAGAGCAATGAGAAATAAAACCAAATCTTAAACCACCTCTCCCCACCCCTCCCTTCTTCCCAGGCTCAACTTCACACCTGATTTTCTACCTTCTCCCCCCCCAGCAGCACAGGGGGATGGGGAATGGGGGTTGTGGTCAGTTCATCACACTGTGTCTCTGCTGCTTCTTCCTCCTCAGGAGGGGGACTCCTTACACTCTGCCCCTGCTCCAGCGTGGGGTCCCTCCCACAGGAGACAGTCCTCCATGAACTTCTCCAACGTGAGTCCTTCCTAAAGGCTGCAGTTCTTCACAAACTGCTCCAGCGTGGGTCCCTTCCACGAGGTGCAGTCCTTCAGGAGCAAACTGCTCCAGTGTGGGTCCCCCACAGGCTGCAGGTGGAATCTCTGCTCCCTATCATCCACGTCCCTGTGCAGGGGAACAGCCGGCTTCACCATGGTCTTCACCACAGGCTGCAATTCTTCATGAACTGCTCCGGTGTGGGTCCCTTCCACAGGGTCACAGCATCCTTCAGGTGTCTCCACCTGCTCCAGCATGGTGTCCTCCACGGCC